TCGAATTAATCCAGTAAAATGTTGGTAGTATTTCTTTGTTAAAACTTGCTATGGAAGAATACATTGTATTATTAATACAGTCAGAAATTCCAAAATATAGTGTCCAAAAATTGGTTACAATCGAGCAGACGGTTACCTTACTTTATAAGCGAACTTGAACGAATTCCAAACCAGGTTGTAAAAAAAACATGATATATAAAAACAATTCGGATTTTAATCAGTATTTTCTATTTAAATCGATTTTTTTCTGTCTTAGTATGAGTTATTATGTTTATGTTGCATTGCATTTTCACCTTTCAAAACTACCAAAGAATGTTTTGTTTTTAGAAATAATCTGTTCCTTAAAAAAAGAAATTACCCGTCTCACTGGCTTCACTATTTATGGAATTATGGACCATTGAACATGAGTGAAGGACCCACTATAGAAGACAAGTTTGTCATCTTTACGTGTTATTTCTACATGTTCAAACAACGAATTTTCCTGGTTTTTCACTTAACTATATTAAGGGAATAAATGTGTGCTCCGGAGGTTTTTATCACTCGTTTAATACCGCTTAGAGTCTGGGTGCTGATAATTACCCGAGCCGGAGGCGAGGGTAATTATCAGCATCCATGTTTTGTTTTTTAAACTTATACAAGACTATTGATATTTTTTGGAATGATTTAAAAACAATTCAAATGATTTAAATCGTGATTAAAATCAATGATTAAAATCAAATGATTTAAATCCAAACAACCCTGTACCAGACCATCCAATTGGAACCAGTAAGGAATAACCAACAACATGTTTGTCGAAAAATGTCTTCTTGTTTCGGGGTATACATCTAAAAGGGTTCGCTGTGCACATCGATTTAAAATTGGGAAATTTTGCCTAAATAAGTAGCATTTCTCTTGTGACTCTATAACGGGTCAGTAAATTCAAGACAATACGTGTACAGGAATCAACTTCCGTGTGAAAACACTAGAACATTGGCTAAAAGTCTTTTAAAAATTAATGTGAATTGAATTCACTGGGAATACTTCAATTTTTTAAAGAAGCTCAAAGGCAAATCAAATATTTTGTCAACAGGGTGGTGCAAAAAGAGAAGGAACCCCACTTTTGTCAGCACTTTTCGCCTACTTGTTGAGCCCATTTCAAAAATTCAATTTTAATGGTTTTTAAATATTGATCTTTGAACATAAGTGACGAAAAAATAATTGCAGAGACAAAAACACTACACTAAACTCACATGTGGACAACAGTGATTTTGGTGACTTGTATTCAAATCAGCATAATAACACTATTCTAAGACTTGCGATTTTTTAAAAGATGTTTTTTTCACCACGTATGGTTAAAAAGCTATACTTCACACACATTTATACAAAAAAGTCCAGTTCAAATAAGTTAAGTAAGAAGGTTAAAATTCCTGTCAAAAGTGAGTTTCCTTCTTTTTGCACCACCCTGTAGTTAGCGTCTCACATTGGCTACAAATCTTTACAAAATAATATTTCAAGGTTTCAGTCTTCATAGACGGGAAAAATAAGCCTTTTCACCAGTGGCTATATTGTTGAAAAATCGTCGGTTGACGCGCGGGCTTTCGGGTCTTGTGTAAGCCATGGTACAGAAACACCACTTTATCGTTTCAACCTCCGAAGTTCACAGATCATAGGTCATTGTGAGATATTCAGCTTACGGCTGATTGAAGAATGAATCAGAACGACGTGTCGGAATCTTTGCGTTGCCTTTTTCTATAGATCTATAACCGAATGTTGCCATGCACGCATATTAAACAAACATGATTTTGTTCAACTGTGCATCTTGAACACCAAAAGGGGACCGTTACACATGATACTGCATGATGTGTTTATGGTCCGTATACGAACACTTCACCAAATAATAAACAGTGTCACAACTTAAGAACAGTTCATGTTCAATCGAGCGGGCAAGTTGATCTCAAAAAATCTCCGAGATTTTACGAGAATATCTACAGGTATTCAGGTATCATGTAAATATGATCTACAACGTGTGTGCAGTCCCATTTTTACACTTATTTTGTACTGTGACTAGGCTTATTCAGTCAAGGGCAATAATTGGGTTTTGCGAAAAAAATAGAAATCATTACTATTTACAAGAAGTTGACGGCATTGCAAATTGATGACAATAACAAAATGGAGAAAAAATTACCACAATTTCCGTTTAATTGATCATGCAGATACCAATTGAATAAATTCTAACACCGCACGGAAATCTGCGTCTCAATTAATCAGTGTTTGGTATCAAGACGTCCACATGAAAACTGAACGTGAACTGGCGAGACTTGCACGCTCTATTAACATCTAAAACGGGGAATATGGATAATAGCACGGTCCAGTGAAATTGTCCGTGTGGTGTTTTAAGAATGACTTTCTCTATGCTGAAATTCATTTTTTTTTTTTAATATCAGTGGAAATTTATTTACTTGACTGTTGGACTATCGATTAAAAATAAAAAGTACCCAAGTCGCCTTTTGCTCCCATTTAAGCCTAGATTTAACCATAGCAAGACACGATCTAAATTGCAAGCAAACAAAGGCGCGTTATGAAAATCTTTCTCATAGATGTTGTTCTATCTGTCCACATTGTCATTGACATTTTTGTTGTCTAGAAAAAATACAACTGTTAAAAAATACTTCTATACCTACAGGAACTGTATTTTTAAACCTTTATCACGAAAAGAAAAAAGGTTTTTAAATACTGTTTCTCTTTTATCAGATTTTCGAATAATTGGCATGTTTTCGAAACCGTTGATGATTTAGTGCATAATCATGCATGATTGGATAGATAAGAGATCACAACCCATTGAATTGGGCTCTGCAAAGATAGGACACGTTTTTAAACCTTATGCAAAATCTATAAAGAAACATAATCGTTCACACGCGTGGCGAATGAAGCAACTTGGGTACTTTTGAACGTCGAACTATGCGACGATATCAAGAACAATTTAATCAAACTCATCATATGGGGTATGTGGAATGTGCCAGGCATCTTGAGAGGGTAACTGTGTATATACATTCATTCTCTTCAGTGCCCACTAAATTATCGAAAAGGTTTGGTAAAATGTCAGGATAAAGTGTTTTTCTATATATTTATAATTATGTTATAACATTTGTTAGCTCAATTTTACAATTTACATGTGTCCTGGTCAGTTTCCCTTTGTGGATGATGTACTTGTTTGTTATTATTAGTTTAATTCAAACATAGCATGCATCATGTGCTGTTAATCATTATCTTACCATCTATAAAACCAAACATCATTCATGTTCATCGATATAAGAATAACTTTAAGATGAAAGGGCTTAAAAATATGCATGTTTACATTTTCAAGGCATATTTTGATATTCCTATCCAATTTTGTTTTCAACAAAATATTGATGCACAAATACACTCACATTTTACTTCACGTATAGTGATTCGACAAAACTTATATCGCTGTGAAAATGACGAACTTTTGCTTCATCTGAAATTGCCGAGCTCTTAAACTCTGAGTGTCGTATTTATGTTTCGCTTTAAAAACATAAAGGATCATTTGCTTTTCATGCATTTTGTTGGTTTCCAATACTAACACCGCTCAAAATTCAAAGAAGAATTTCCAAAAACCTAGCCTGTTGAAGCTTTAGCTCACTGGATATTACACTTTTCGAGAAAACAAAAAAAACAATAAACCACTCACAACCTTTTGATCACGAAACACGATTTCGTCATTATAAGTTTTTTATTTCCAAAAAATATTGACTGATCGTTGGAAATCGCCTACATTTCTTGATTTCTTCTAAATGACAGCAAGCCAGACGGAATAATTTCACATGGTAATTAGTACCAGTACGATCTTTAATCCAAGTAAGCTTTTTGATACAAATTCGGTAGGTTACTTTTGGGATAAATGCAAATGATCCTATATGCCTTTAAGTATAACTTTATGGGGAGAAAGATCTAAGGGTGATAATTTTAATTCCTGTGTCTTCATTTAAAACGTAAGAAAAAGTACCCTGGAAATGACAATGCAGAAGAACTTTCTCGATATTATATTCACCCCGGATTAATCCTCGAAATAGTTTCGTCAGTGGTTGTATTAAGCGCCGATGTGTCGCAGTAGATTGGCTTGTACGAGATGAACGTTTCACCGAACCGGAGTAACCGGTTTGGCCCGGGACTCTCCCGGTGTGTCAGCCACATCCGTGCTCGGTGAAGTTCACAGTCACCGCGGTATCAAACTGTCAAATAATCTCACGCAGCTCGCAAATTTCATGGTTCAAGATTTGTTTCGAAATTTCTCAGTCCAACCTTCCAATCATGATGATACAATAAATCGAAGAAGTCATATTGGTTTGTGCAGTTGTTTTGTTGAACGGGGAATAAGCACTTCTTGCCGGATGATCATGCGCACCGAGCGTTGAAACATGAACTTCACGATGAAAGTTTTATTGAAATTCTTTCGGGGGGGGGCTGTGTATGGTAACTAGCTGGTGCTCATTACAAGTTCAAATGTGACACTACAAACCGTCGAAAAAAACACTTATCTGTCAAGAACACGTGACACGTTTTATCATCAGCAGAGTAAAGGCTTACAAAGCAAAACAACGAAATATGTGACATCTTCTTCAGATGTGACATCTCTCTTAGAGTCTACGCAGTACATGTCGATTCTCTTTTAAACTATAGGCATTTAAAACATTGCATTTTGTTCTGACTAATTGTGACCACGTCTCTGAAATTCTTAGATCAGTTAGGTATTGGAAAGGAATTTTTGATTCAGCATTTTAAGAATGAGCTGGTGGAACAAAATTACCAGAAAACTGGGAAATTACTTTATTTGCTTGGAGATTAGCGTTATAACATTTTTTATGCAAGGATGTGGTTTATGTCTTTAAGCTATAATTAATGAATTGTTTTTCACAACAATGGGGACCAAAGGAAACATAAAAGAACTTATTTCAATGAGGTAACTTTTTAAGGATTTCGTTTAGTTTGAAATTTAAACTTACCGTTCGATTGACAAGTGTTGTGAAGGCAGTCGAGTGTGGGTTGCGGTTGCTGTTTCTTCGACTCCGGGAAGACACCGTCTACTGGCTTCATCTGGTCCCGTCGTAGGCCCGGCTCGCTCCCCTGCTGCACGGCACATGAACTCGGTGTTGGCCCGTTGCTAGCGGCGAACCCCTGGTGGTTAAAGTTCAGAGTGAAAGTAGGTCCCGGTGTCGAATTCTCGATGGGATGGGTCCAGGGACCTGGGGTTGGTTCGTATTCCCCTACCCCTCCTTCACAGCCGCCTCCCACCCCACCTGTAGGGTATCCACACCCAGGAGATGAGCCGTTCGCACGGTAAGACAATCCGCCCATAAAACCCAGGTAATTACCGTTTTGGGGCAGAGCAAACGAGCCGTTACTGCCGGCCGTAATGTTCTCGTATAACGGGGCAATAGAATGGAATGGCGAAGCCGGTTGGAATCCCTCAAATTGAGGGCTGTACTGGCGTGTGTCGTATTGCATGGCGATCGCAGTCATGCACGGTCAGTTCAAGGTGAGAAATAAAAAATTCAGTCGTCAAAATTTGATGGCTCTATATTTCCCGCCTACAAAATGTACATTTTACAGCCGATTTATCGCCAGTAGTATAAAGCGACAAGGTTGTGTCCTTTTTCCGGTCAAGCGAGCTGCATTAACACTGCCAATTTCATCAATACAGGAGCAAAGTTCAGAGAGAGAAAGAGAATAAAATTAACTGCCGCTATAATCACGAAAGCATGTGATTTGTAAGTCTTACGCGTACATTCTCTGTAGGATTAGGCCTACAGGGGACTTAAGTGAAAACATCCAATATGACACGTGACAGCTCTTACCCAATCAGTTTGGACAAACATGGCCGGAGAGATAGCGGATGGGTCATAGTGATTTGCCCGGTGGGGGGGGGGGGGGGGGGGGCAGCAAGTACCTTGGGCCAACCCATTCGATTAGCGGTGACGTATAAATTACGGACATTATTATGGCCAAAGTGTTATGGCCGGGTCCGGCACGGTTGGGGTCTTTTCACCCCGACCGTCAGTTTAGTGCTCGGATAGGCCCCGTTGTTTGTCTATAATCTAATTACGACCACAGTGTCACTTGATTTCGTTATTGTTAACACCTTGAATACTTCTGAGGGGGGAATTCAGATCAAAGTTAAATACATCAATCACCAAGTGAAATGTTTGATTTTGTGTCGAAGCTCTGAAACTCTTGGACTCATGCAAGCAATACAGCAGGACAACAGTGGCGTAGTACGGGGGTGTTGATCCCCAAAAGAAGAAAATTGAGGGGAAGAGAAATTAAAAAAAGCCAAACGACAATTTCAGTGAAACAGATTTTTTAAGTTTAACAATAATTATTGAAACAATCTGCAAGGGACATAGCCTCCCCCACGCTACTGCAGGTGAATCCAGACGCAATATAGTTGCGTATTAAAGACGTTTTCGTTTTAACTTGAAGGTTGGAACAGTCGTCCAGGTATGATTTTCATCAATTCTTATCTCAACGAATTGAACCTACGAATAGAGCCTACTTAGGAATTGCCGGAAAATATATCACAAGGGTTGCGTCCTTTAAACGAGGTTCCAAAAGAAATAAATACCAGCACAATAGTACCTGCCAACAGTAGAGCAAACATCTGGTTTGTGGCTCGAGTGCTTTGCTTAATGTCATGTGTTTGATTATTTGATGGGATTGAATTGATAGGAATGATTGTGCACTTACCTAATTATGTAATCGACGTCATCCTGTTGTTTCATCGGTGTCAGAGAACCGTTGAGAGGTTGTTTATTTCTTCTTCAAAATCAAAAAGGAAAACAATTCAGTATACAAGTCCCAAAGAAAGTTTCAATTGTTTCAACAATTGACTAGATGGACGTCTCTTTTCTTTTCTTTTTTCAAAGGTGCAACTTTTGGTAGAATTTCAATAATATGTAGTTTTGATTTCACCTTTATATTTGTCTATCTGTATGTTTGTTTGATTTGTAAATGTCTTTTTCCCTTCTAACAAATGCAAAACAAAGGCAGACATTAAAGGCCGAGTTGGAACAACTTGGTGGGTTCTTGGTTTAATTTAGAACAGATGATAACCAGGCGGGAAGGGGAACCTGTTTAAAGTTAACCTTTTTCCTTGGAGTCAATAAACACCAAAACCTCGGAATTTGTTCCCCTTTATACCGGACGATCAAAGCAAGGCCCGGGCGGGTCTATATATACGATCGGGGTTTACGACCGTTTCAGCGGGCAGACCTCACAGTATCTGGCCGGAAATCAAAGGCGACCGCCGGTAGACCGAATGGACCCATAAGCCGCTTAGACCTAAACGGTCCAGATTTGCGGAACACAGCCCACGGACACACGGAGTTGGCCCTCTATTTTTCAGTATTTTTGTTGGTTTATAAACTGGGTCATATTGACCTAAAACATTAATACATTGCTTTGAAACTTCAGGAATGCTATGAAGCCAATCGGACACAAAAGTGGGACTGGATGGCATGCGTTACGTGCATTGGAATTTTGGAATTTTGAGAAAAAACTCCCCTCTGAATTTTCTTCAATGAAAACCTCAATTGAACTCTTACCACTATGTCCCTAAAATGGCTAAATAACTTGTGATTTTGAATGGATATTTTGCCGATGCGTGTACACTATTTTGTCCATGTTTATCAATGCACATAAACAAAATAGCATCAGAAAGATGCCTATTGCATTAACTATACATTTAGTTAAAAAGAACATGCATGAATTTGTATTAAATAAATAGTCGTTCAATATACGGATTATATGGAAGGAACTGAGCAAATATTATGCTTCTAACATTAAAGAAATAGAAGCAAGCAAGCTTTCTTCCAATTACACTGTAAAAAAGGTTATATAAAACACTTTTGGGCAATGTAATTTACCCAGCATTGGTATGAAATTACCTCATTTTGGGTTGAATTGGGTAAAAACTGTCAAACTATTGGGAAGAATTTGCCCAAGAGTGTAGGCAGTTTATAATTCGACCAGCATTGGTCGAATTATCAACCCATTTTGCCCAACTTTTTATAGTGTGTATTTTACCGATATGTCCCAATTTAAAAGTTGCTCCCTGTGTGCTCTTACAAAATTTCTATTTGTATTTTTTTTGTTCCAAAAAAATAATCTTTTTTTTTTCAATTTCGGGCGTCAGCAGTCCTATGATAAATTGATTCCAATTTGGGTTTCCTCTTCTGACCCACGAAGAGAGACTTCTTCGTTCGATGTTTCATTCAAAAGCGAATAATTGTTTGTATTGCTAAAAAAAATATCAATTAAAAAACCATTGTCAATGGCACCTGCAAGTGTATTATATAGCAAGGTCTTGCTCTTGTGTTTTACTGTGTTTAATAGTTCAATTTCAGGCAACATTAACACTAAACTTATTCTCACTTCAGCATCATTTGGCTATGAATTTGTTTAATGTAAGTTCGCTTTTTCTCAAAAAAGACTTATTATACAGAACAAATAAAAATGTGTTGTGTTTAACACGTCAGGGTGATTTCTTTTTACAAAAGATGTTTCCACAACCTGTCTCTATCACGAGGTGAAGCAAATGCTCCAAAAATGTAAAAACAATCGTCGCAGTCTCTCAGCAACACTTTGTTATTGTAAAATTCTGTTGATTTGTGTTTTTGAAATAGCAAGTGATATACTATGGATATTTCAAACTTAAAGGGAATGTACAACATTTGCTTTTGCTGTAACTTTCAGAAATAAATGAATTTGGAGGATTAGTATGTTGTAACAAATATTGTTAAATTGACTTGTTTCACGTTTTGGGCTTGCAGGTGCTGGAAAAACCAAGAAAACCAATCATGTTCTTGTAGTCTGGTTCCATGACCCTGCACTCAAGATGAAACGGAGCAATTGATAGACTTTGGGGAATTGTAAGGTCAGAGAATCAGTCTAGCAGGCTTGTACCTCTTCACAGGTGTGTAATCAATTGAAAAGAAAATGCGGAATAACTAAAAAAAAAAAAAAAAAATTAGGAGCAGTTTTTGAAAAAAAAACAGTTTTTCTTGCAAATGACTTTACAGGATTCTTTAGACTGTGTTTCCTTAACAATCCAGTTAGGTTTTTCGTGATAATTTGATCATTTCGTTTGTTGATGTTTGCAAATGTTGTATCTTCCCTTAAATATCTTGTAGGCCCTAATACTGCTTTACATTGTATCTCAATAAATACATTTTAATAATTATCATTTTAGACGAATTCAGACATGCGGAAAGAAATTGGCATTTCTTCAGTAGTTTTGAACAAGTTCATTAAATATACTCTTAAATGGAAACTCCTATGTCGGCTTTAAAACAACAGCGATCTCTACGTGGATCAGAAACCACAAATTAACGATATTATGTTCGGAATCTTCCACAATCCATTATATATCCCTTGCGTATTTGTTCATTCCAGCTACTTAAAGTCTTTATTAACGACCTGAGCCAAACGCAGGAGACAGTTAGTATTACAATGCTCATCTTCTGATGTGCCGGTGGTGTAGTGAGGCCCATATGTCGGTCGTATATCAATCGGGCATGAAACCTCTGCATGGTAAGATGCGCTCGTGAAGCCTGATACCTCCGAGGTGTTCAGGAGGTAATTAGACTATGCAGGTATAGAAGCCGGCGATATAAGAACGTTGCACATGTATAAACATGATTCATACGATTATTTTCAATTCGCAACATAGGCCTATATCATATTTTCTCAAAGGAAAATGAAATCATCAAAGAAAGAAATGAAAATACGCAAGGAATGTTTTCAATATAAACAGAAGCGGTCAAAGCGTAAGCCATAAGTTGAGATTGAAAACAAATACCACTTTCAATTCGTCTTTTCGGTTGATTTTGTTGGTGTGTTTTGTTTTGTTTTATTTTGTTTGGGTTGTTGTTTGGGTCCAATCTGCGGTGGGGGTGAGGGTGCTTGGAAGCTCATTTTCTGAATGGGTTTCAAATAATAAGGAAGACTCTTTTACTTTTCCCTTAGTCCGGAGCGGAAGTTGGGGCAAGTTTGGGGATGGTGGCATAGGTATAGTTGGCCTGGGTGAGGCCTCCCTTAATTACGGAATGTTATGCGCTCAGTTTCGGTTATAATTCAAAACTCCCGTCTACTCTGAAGTCTCAGCACTGAAATCTAGGAAGGACTGTGCCTCGGTATCCCAGGGAGAAGGAATGGTTATAATTTGGGGTAGAAATCGCCTATAAGAGGTGGGTTGTAAGATGAGATCAGATATTCGCGTTAATTCCTTTTTTAAGAAATGTCTCTTGCACCTGTGCACAATGTGAAATGATGGTCCCATGGGCGTCGCCAGGATTTTTTTCAGAGGGGGGGGGCGAACATATTTTCCCCCCAGATCCCTCTACTTTTCCTGCATATTCTCGATTAATCTTTTTTTTTTCCCGAGGGTAGGCAGGGACATTTGCCCCCCCCCCCCCACCCTTTAAATTAACACCAATATAACTTAGCGCCTCTTTTGCTTCTTCTTCTTTTTCCTCCTTTTTTGGCTTGACCATGCATAGGGATGGGGGAAGCGCCCCCCCCCCCTTTTGCCCCCTCCCCCCCCCCCCTGCGAAGCCCATGGATAGTCAATATATTATATAAAATATACTGATTAAAAAATGATCTTTAGACAGACTGGTTCACTATGAGTTATGTATGAATCACCTGATTTGTTTTTCATCCATACCGAAATGCAAATGTCAAAA